TTCAGAACACTTCCACTCATATGCCTGTAAGCATTGCATGCAAATGTATCTGCATGTATATGTTCAGGTCCTTATATCAAACAACTGAGTCATACATATATGAATATGCAATTTCATTATTCTTTGCAAAAGCTTTCCCTTTAAGTGTGGAGGTTACTCCACAAGCCTTCAATGGAACCCTGTTCAGTTCTAGATTTTTTTTTTTTACCCCTAAGCTGCATGTGTTTGCCTTTTGAAGACTATAGCTGAAATGCTGTTGCTTAGCATAACAAGTAGTCCTGTTTGAATCAATGGAATTCATAGAGAAGTTGACTCACCAAACCCCCACTGATTCTATGGGCCAACTCTAGTTGTAACTTACTATGCTAAGTAACAGGATTTCAGCCTATGTGTAAAAAATGAAGGCAACAAGCAGGAAACAAATATGTCACATGGCCAACATACCTACAACACAAACAGTAGGTATCAGTAGCTTAACTTCTGAATGGGGTATTGAGCCTCATGGTATAATGGTTAAACTGCAGTAGTGGATCCAAAACTCTGTTCACATATTGGGTTCATTCCCAGGAAGACAGCTTGAGGTTGACTCAGCCATCCATCTATTCCTGGTAAATTGTACCCAGCTTGCTACAATATGCTACCTGCATAATTAAACTGTACACTGCCCAGAGAGTGCTTTAAACACCATGGAGTGGTATATAGGTAAAAGGTAAAGATTCTCCTTGACATTTAGTCCAGTCGTGTCTGACTCTAGGGGGCGGTGCTCATCCCCGTTTCCAAGTGGTAGAGCCAGTGTTTTGTCCGAAGACAGTTTCCATGGTCACGTGGCCAGTATACCCAGACACAGAACGCCGTTGCCTTCCCACTGTGGTGGTACTTACTTATCTACTTGCATTCACATACTTTCGAACTGCTAGGCTGGCAGGAGCTGGTACAATCGATGAGAGCAAACTCTGTTGCATGGATTTGAACTTACGACTGCTGGTCTTCTGACCTTGCAGCACAGAGGCTTCTGCAGTTTCCACGCCCCTTATGGAGTGGTATATAAGCAGTACATTTTATAGTGAAGTAAGTGAAAGGCACCAAGCCAAGGGCTGCAAATATATTTTTTAAACATTTGTCATTCATTCTGGTACCCCAGATACAGTTTGGAGGTGTCTATGGCATCTCTTTTATTCTCCCTCTCTGTCTCTCAGTTTTGTATCTCTCTGGACTAGGTGAAGAACACCCACATTGCTTCTTTCCTCTCTTCCCGTTTTCCCTGTTGCTGTCCTCTGCAATGGTGAGATGACATAGCTCTATAATTGTTTATAAAATGTTTTGTAAATAGGGTCCAACAATTCTAGGAATGGTGCTTCAGTTTTACAAAGGGGTCCCACAGGCTTTTATCTATATTGTTTAGATTCATCTATTTATTTTCCCTTCCAATACTTTGCTTGGTATACAACTATCAAGAAAAAAAAAATTAAACTGGGTCTGTGTCTCTGGGTTTCTGACATATAGGGAAATAACAAGCCCTATCGACTCTATATTCCTACTCTAACTGCAGTTAACCATTGAGTTCCTTCCAGCCCCACATCTCTCAGCATGATATGATGCTGGAAGTTCTTGGAAGCCTTACTGAAATCTCTAGGATTGGCTTCAACAGAATGGGTTGGGTATAGTTTTGTTTTGGGATAATATCAAGAAAAATACTTCCACCCTCATTGGCTTATGTTATACATATATTTAAACAGATTTAAATTACAAACAGAATGTAAATCCCAGACAGACTCCATATGTTACATGAAATGCTTAATAATGATCACCTCAGTATTCTATATCCAGATACCTTCTGTGGCTCTAGGATACTGAAAAGTGAACGTCTACTGCTGCCATTATTATATATTATATAAACTAGAAATGAAGGGCACTTCTGTGTCATCCCAAAGCTTGGAGAGATAAATCTGGTTTTCTGGCCCAACAAAATAACTACTGGCATTAGAATCTTTCTTACAGTTATTGTAAAGCTTTGAGCACACAATAGATTAATAGCCTCAGACAATAGCAAAGAAGGAACATAGATAAAGCTTTCCACTGCAGTTTTGTTTAAAGCAAGATACGAAGTTAGCAGTGACATATTCACTGGGCTGGATTTAAACAAATGTATGGCAAATTAATATAATATTTTGGTAGGTCCATGTAACCATAACAGAAAGCACAGCAAAGAAGCGTGGTTCTCCACCCCACAGCAAGGTGGTCATACTTCCAGAAACTGTCTGAGTGATTCTGAAAGCTGAAAGTTTTAATTTAAAGCACCACAGGGACTATAGCCCACACACAGCATTTTCATTGAGTTCTCACACAATTCCCAAATCACTGCAGCATTAGCTCTGTGAGAAATATGTGTGTGCAGAGAAGTGCCTTCAGCATCACAGTGAATGGGATGGTCCTTGCAAATGCAGGAGATAATATAATAATATAATAAAAAACTTTAAAATGCATTGCTCGAAGGGACCCTATGGATCATCAAGTCCAGCCCCTGTCAAGGAGGCACAGTGAGGGATTGAACTACCCCCCCCCGACTCCGTAGCCAGAGACCTAAGCCGCTGAGTGTGAATAGCACTTGGCTGAAAAGAGGAAATTTTCTGTTTGCATCAAAACTGCACTCATTGTGGCTAGGAACTGATGCATAAAGTTGAAACTCTGCCCACAGTCATGCCATTCTGCTGATGCCTGTCAAGCTGACAGAAACAAGTTTTTGAAGCCTGACTTCCTTACCTCTCCTTTCAGAGAGTTGAGGGATCTCCTGAATAGAGTGACACAGAAAACTCTGGGGGGAATGGTTTCTCTGGAAATTGGGTAGGGGGTATCCTTTATGAATTGTCTCCTATCTGATTTTTTAGAGATTTGTTCTTTTCCTCAGCCTCCACAACCATGATTCACCCCATTTAGAAGTGCCCCAATTTAGGAGATGCTTTTCAAGAGGCCATTGGGACTATCAGATAAAGGGGGAAGTAAGCATTGGAAATTACCCAAAACTTTACCCTTTGCCTTAGGTTCATTCAATTACTTCAACTGAGCTAAACTGAATTATTAGTTCCAACCAATAGACACTTTTGAATAAGGAGACTTACTTAACCAGTAAGTCCCTCTGATTCAGAGGGTCTGTTGTAATTGGGACTAACCATTGGATTTAGCCCATAGATTCACTGAAAGAGAACCACATAGAAAACAAAGACTGCTGGCTTGTAGCTCACTTCTTTGTGCGCACCTGAAGAAGTGAGTTGTCATCTATGAAAGCTCATGCCAAATAAAACTTGAAATAAAAAAGTTTATGTATTTTTTTATGAAGAAAAGTTTTCAGGATGGCCATCATCAGAACGTGAGCAACAAAAATGTACAAAAGTTTCCCTGAAGCAATAGTTTTGGATTTTATTAGACACACCAGGTCCAGTAAACGTCTGCAATGCAAAGCAAATAACCCAAGCAGGTTGGAGGATCTTCTAATGATGATCACCTGCACTCCGACTACGTTAATCAATCAGGATGAATTAATTACTTCCAAAATTATCTGAAGCATGACAGACAGTTGATGTCTTTCAAATTAGGTATTAATTATTACAATGAAACTCACAAAGATTGTAAGAGCCATCAAGAGATGGTCTAGGGAAAACAACCTCCACTCAGCCAGGCGGCTGCATCTCCCCCATTTCAAATTTGTTAGAACTTGCATAATCACCACAGGGAATTATCACCTGCTTAACTGTAAACATAAAGGCTTTCCTTCCATACCTCTCCAAAGAACTCTGAGGGGTTGGCCAGACCTAAGGGTATTTAAAACAACCACTGTCTTCTCACGATCAGCTGGAGTCTGCTGATGTGTGAAATACATCTAGGAACTCTTAGGTAAAGTAAGATGGCTGCCTCAGTCAGAAGATTTAGGTTAGTATGAAAAAGTAGCAAAGTATTTGTTATCATTCTGCTTTCACTACCAGATTTAGGAAGAGAGGTTTGTGAGACTTTCTGTCCTGTGTGCCAAAATGACTTGGCTAGTTTGTGGTCTTGTGGACCTTGACTTAGTGCCTCAGGTTTTGTCTCAGGGAGAGAAGTGTCTTCAGATGGCTGAGGCTGTCAAGTGCTAGGACCTAAATCTTCCTTTTCTTTCAGCACCTATACTTTTCACCTTCCTAAAGATCAACAGTAGCTACTAAAACTGACCTTGGTCTAGTCTTATGTTTTGCCTGTCTCTATTCCCATTTTTTCTCTTGCTAATTATAGGCACTGAGGTACTAGGTAATCAGATATAGTTATCTAAAGAATGCCTTTTGTCCCTGTATTTATTGTGTGATCTCCTCACCTAATTTATTTGCAATTTTTCTCAAAAAGAGATCCTGACAAGGAGACAATGTACACTGTTAACATTCAAAATAATGTCTTCATCTTAGAAGTTCCCAGTTGTGCTTCAAATCCGTATCTTCAGTAGTGATGTACATTCACCATTTCAGCAAATTGAAGCGACATCAATGACCATTATGTACAAGTAACTTTTTCCATTGCTGTGTTTCTTTTTCTCTCTCTTTTTTTTTTGAATAACTTTAAGCTACTTGGGCTGAAAAGTTACTTGTTTGTACAACTGCCTCCAGCATATCCCATGCTGGGATATACCATGTGGCTGGTGAATTCTGGGAGCTGTAGTACAAAAAGGAAACATTTCCATTTCCGGAGAAATCCTGGCTTGTGGGAATAGGTTGCGATCCTTATTCCTCTGAATACCTCCAAAATATACAATTGTATTTAAGCCTCAATACTGATTATCAGACACATACTTTGGGCAGGCAATATAGAAATACTTCTATATTGAATACTTGTGAAAGTATCTCAGTCTTTAGTTGATAGCTCTCATTTTAGGAGTCCATTATTGTGGACCTGGTGATACTCTTCATGCACACATGTATGCACACACACACACGTGTGCATGCATGCACACACAGAGCAATGGAATTGTGGGACTAATTTACCTGTTTAAGTCACGATGTATAATCGGCTGGGTAAGATTGTGAAGATATTCCATACCTTTGGCAACATCTACTGCAATGATTAGTTTTGACTGCAAGTCCAGATTCCTATAATGAAAAGAAAACATGTCAAATTAGAGTGGTGTCAGATGAGTTTGCCAAACTTCCTGATTATTAACAAGTTAGAGGTTGTGTCATTTACAGATCAAGTTGTCTCAGAGGAGTTTAAAATAAGAAACAATCTCAATGTGTAATCACTTGGAAATAGTTTTATTCTGAATTAGAATTTGAATAGTCATTAATTTGCCTGTTATTTGCAATTTTCATCTGTTCCAATGTTGACTAGAAGGTCTTTGGCTGGAATAAAGGGGTAGTGGAGCAGAACGGAGCACACCCCTTAATGAACATATACAGATATTTCTGTCCGCTCAGGCGTTTCTTTTTGCCATCACTCTATACGTGTGCCTTGCCAATCACATTGTAAAGGGAGGCTCTGCTGAGCCAGGCATGAGGCAGCACCTTTGCCATTCATAACTGGAACTCAGAAAAGTCATTCTTCTAGGGGAGAATTCTGAGATGTATGTATGTATGTATATACATACATACGTATACATTACATTGATATTTAACTGATACTTCGTGCAAACAGTGCAAACAGCAAATGTCTGTGCTTAGCCAAGACACTTCCATGGTGTATACATACAGTATACTATAGGAAAGAGCCAATTTTCAAATATATAAATTAAATTAGTGTGACAATTTTATGGATTCGTTTCAATGTGTTAGTAGATTACAGTCTTCCTCAGATATATAGAGCAGAACATGTAAGGCACAGTTTTATATAAAAAGTGCACAGGGTTTGGGAGAGGTGGGGACCAAATGGAGAGGGGAGGCAAATATTGACCATGAAAGTTCAAAGTGACAATAGGTCAGGTAATGAACTTTCAAAGTGCTGATCACATATTACAGTATATAAATAATACTACATAGCTATACATCTGTAGCCTAAATATTGTACTCCATGAATCAAAGGGCATGGATTGTAATCCATGAAAATTCACACTGAAATAAATCTCATAGTCTTAAAGGTAAGGGGCAAAGTGATTGTAATGCACAGAAAAGAATTTCAGGGACAAAATGAAAGAATTAATGAGCTGTGGGAATTACAGCTCAAAAAAGCAGCTGTTCCAAACTCAATCTATTTTACGTCATAAATCCTTATGCCTGACTACTGACTCCTATTACTACCCCATGCAACAATAATTCTGTTGCTTTTTCCAGTCAGATCAGAAATAGAACTCTCCAACTTGTATTCCACCTATGGGAATAAAGCATGGGAACTACGTATATGCTTTTCTCCAGCTTGAACTCACTTTTTTTTTTGCAAGCTGATTAAATCAGCAGGGTACAGCAGTGACAAAATACAATAAGTGTGCACTATCTAATCTATTCTACTCCCCCCCTAGGTATAGCGGACTCAGAAGAGGTTTACTCTTTCCTTCCTCTGAGGGCTCTCTGGGGCTGTGCAGCTTGCCCAAGGCTACACAGGCTGGCTCTTACTCCAGGAGGCACAGTGGGAAATCAAACTCCCCACCTTTGTAGGCAGATATCTAGATACCTACATAACTCAATGAACTAGCAAGCAAACAAAATATAGCTGGCAGAAGGCAATGCCAGCCAATTGTAATCAATGACAACCTCTGCATCTTACATCTTCAGACTCATCTACATGCAATCAACTAACAGGACAGATAGACTTTTGAAACCAGTGTTGCAAGGATGAAGCCCAGATTTGGGGCATTTCTTTAACTAGCTGTCCTTCATGGTAATCGGGGTGCTAGTACAGTTTTGAAACCCTCAAGAAGAACATTCACAAAGGTATTGTACTTAGGTATATATTGAATTGTCCCTGCCAGGAACCAAAACAAATCTGAAATGCTCAAGTTAGTAATCACTAAAGTTTTTCAAACACTGCCATTTGATAACCTAAGAGTTTGGTCTATGACTTATTTTCTCTTCCAAATGTTGCCAGTGGAATAAGTGAGTAATAGTTTCTATGGAGAGTTGCTGCAGAGTTAGGATGGAGTTGCTTCACAGCTGGTTCCTGTTTGTGGTTCTCCCAGATTTTCTGGGACTTTGCAAGATCTTGGGGCCTCTAAAGGCAAGGAAGAGTTTTAGGAGTTTCATTTCTCTCCTGGGAGCTGAAGAAATGGACTAAAGGATGGAAATATGTCCAGGGAATAGTTCCTGAGATGTTTACAGCTGCTGGAACATCTCCATAGCACTGGAATAGATTCAACAATGAAACTTTCATACTGTCTCCAAAACTGTCTTCCTCTTCCTCTTGGTGGATTGGGGTAACTGTACTTCCCTGTCAGGTTTGATCCCCTCTGTTATGGCTTTGTATCTCCCCCTTCTTCCTGGCTCACTCTTTCCTTTTCCTATAATTGTTGATTTCCTTTCCCTCCTTCTTCCCCTCCAGTCTTTGTCCCATCTTTCTTTCTCTGACACTCCATCTCCTCCATTTTTATTCCTCTTCAAGCTATTTAAATAGCACAGGCATCTTCTTGAATCCACCTGCCCTGGACTTCCATCCAGTCTGTCCCCCCTCCCTTGAGACTGTTTTTGGTCCTTAGATTACCATGCAGGATCTATGATGCCATATGTGTGTGCCATGGAGGTAAATCAGGTTACCTTTTCTGTTCATGCAGCAGGGAAAAGAGGGATCCTCCAGATATGTACTGTGTGACTATGGCAAATTGACTTGGGTCATCCAAGCATGCACCAACGAATTGGATGACGCAGGGATGATTGAGCCGGCACAGGATGGAAACTTCACGGCAAAACATGTCAACATCTGACTTGGAGCAGTAGGTGTTGGCTCGGTAACTGGCAAGTAGTGTAAGAAAAGGAAATTACATGAGTACTAGCTTCAAAAATGTAAACACAATGAATTAGTAAACACTGTTAACCCTTACCGTTTAATAGCCACAATTTTATTTCTGCATCTTCCCTTGTATACTTTGCCAAATGAGCCTAAAAACAATTAAATAAGGTAAGAACATAAGACTGCTTAAACATTTCTTATTTTAGAATGGACATATTCCCCACTGCTTGTTACCTGAGCCAATAATTTCATGAAACTCAATTTCTGAGAGCTGTAGGTGAAAATGAGAAGGCAAGCCTGCCCGCAGGAGGAGAACATCTGCCTTTTCTGTGGAAGAGAAGTGTTTATTTGTAAAATGCAGCGGTGGGAAAAAGTGTATATTAAAAGCACCCAAGTCAACAAAATAAAGGAAGACATGGCACCTGAATAGCTGATTTTCCCACTAGGGAAGGGTTGACTAGTATATCTGTTCCTCTTTTGTTCCAGTAGCCTACAATAAACCCCAATAATAAACACAGATTTGCAACTTTCTGACTGCCTCAGAGCTTTTTTGCTTTAGAAGCTTATCACTAAAGAACACCGTTCCATATGCATATTCCATCTGGATCATGTAATGGTTCAGAAAATCCTTTATAGAAGGAATTAGCTACCTCTCTTTTCTCTTGAACAGTGGCTAGTGTGACTGTGTTTCTTTCGCCATTCCAATCTACAATTCAATGACTCTTGGAATTGGATTTGACACACAACTGAGTCTGAAGACTAACTTGTTCATTCGCCTACCCAGCTAGAAGACATTTGTCAAAACATTTCTTAACAGAATATTTGAATATGCCTTCTAATTACATGGGCCAGATATGAACTCTTCATGCACCCCAATCTTGTATTTGGGAAGGAGATTTGTAGAGGCAGTGTGTCAAAAGACCTGTCAACAAGCAACTGAGGCATGCCTCAAAGATACAATTAACAATTCTTTTTACATGAAGATGGGTAAAGTCTGATAGTACATATCTTTACATTCTTATCATCAGTTTTACATCTTAATAAAAAGATGTAAGGCCCTCACTAGTATTTTACCATGTAATTTTGCAAAGTGTCTCGACTGAAATCATTTCAATTTTGCTGCAGAAATGCCACAAAATTTATAATTAAAATAACAAATAGATTCCTTTTTGCTATAACAAGTGCCTGTTTCACAATATTTCTTACTGAATTGTACCAAAGGTGTCTTTCTTCACACACACACACACACACACACACACACACACACACACACACACACACACTGAAGTAAGCTTCACTGAACAAAATGACTTAGATAAGAGTGACAACTGCAAAAACAAAAAAATTAAAATAAAACTACAGTGGCAACTTTAAGACAAATATTTTTCACAATGAGCTTTTGTACATCGTCTATCTGCTTCTTCAGACACAGATTTGGAGACATCCATAGGACTGGATTACATGGCATTGGGCTAGTAGTTCTCTTTATTAATAATTCTCAACTTCTGAATCCTGAAATTTCTCAGCCGGAGACCATAGCAATATGCAAGTTTAATATGCATTATTTTTTGGATGCTGAATGCTAAGGAAAGGCCAGGATCAGGTATGCCATGAGGAACATGGGTGTTCATTCTTCAATTGGCGGCAATTCATAGCTGAGAGTTACACTGTTTGACTTACATCATCATATGTAATAGGATTTTGGCCATTGTTTTAAACCAGTTTTGATGGTCTTGTATACTCTTTCTCGTATTGCCCAATTTTCATTTACTTCACTGGTCCCTCCCTGCCTGTTGTTGAGATTAGGCCAGGCTGGAAAATTGTTTCCTATTCATCATGCATCAGTCTCATTACACTACCAGACAATATACTTCTAGCTGCAAGAATGAAGGATAAATGTAGGACTTTGGAATGTAGACAACCTGATCTACAATCTCAGTCTAGTAGCCTAGATTAGAAATCCTTCCTTGTGATTGTGCATTGGAAAAACAAGCAGGAAACATGAATGTTAAAATCTGTGACTGAAAATGGGCATTAGAACAAACTGTACTTCCTGCTGTTACAACTTACTCCACTAGCTTTATCCTCTTTATAATGCCTGTGTGGGCAATCAGCTATACAAAGGAAGTCTATGTTTACATTTCAGTTATCAATGGAAGTTTCCCAGTATCCCACAATTCAATTCTTCCTGTCCCTCTGCCACCGCCATTGGAACCTTCCAATCATCTGTCCACCAAGAAGTTAATTCTCATTACAATGGAGTAGTTTGTCTAAGAGTATGTGGAAATGAGATCCAGATTTATTTGTTCCCTTTGCAAAACTCTGTGCAAAATACGCATATTTTTTGTGAGGAGGCACCAATGGAAGAATTTTCCATTTTTTAAAACAAAACCATGAGTGGAGGAGGTGGAGGTGCTTATGAAGGTATAATGATACTTTCCAATACCCTGACACAGACAGGAACTATGGTGAAGAACTGAGATATGAGGCTGAAGGCTCAAACAGCTGAAATAAGCTCAAAGAAATGCAAGATGCATAACTGGATGAATTAATGTGCTTTTACAGACAGCTGTGAGTACTTGAGGGAACTTTGCTTTCTATAGAATTAGCATAATGTATAGTTTGGGTTTCGCAGTTTTGTTTGGGCTGTGTTTCTCAGAATCTCACTGGCAATCCCAGTTCCATATTGAGATGTGAGAGTTATGGGATAATTCACACATGACTATATTAGTTTAATACATTGATTGCTTAAGTGTCCTTGGATTTGGACAGATGGGCACTTTTAAACTTGTCCCTTTGGGGCAAAGCAAATACACTGAAAATAAATATTATAGCTTGTATTGTATATGTCCTTTATGTAAATCTTGCAGAGATGACTGCTGGATAGCTCATTGGTTTATATATGCCAGAGGTTGGAAGTTTGATTCCTCAGTGTGCATACTTGACAGGGGCTAGACTCGAAATCCATAATGTCCCTTCCAGCTCTCCAATTCTAAGAAATTATTATTATTCAAAAACACCAGACACAGTCAATCAATATTATAAAAACATTAACTGCTATTATAAAACAGATACAAGTTTTAACCAAAAACCTAAGTATCTGTTAAATATTGGAGCAGTATGTATGCTGTTCCTAATACAGTATTGCCGGTTTTTGTAGCTCTGATGGTGTGATTTCTGAGATCTGCAATTACTTATAGTACTGTGCGAATTTTTTTGATATTGTTCCCAAAGCCTCAATGACTACAGGGACCACTGAAGTGGGTTTCTTCCAGAGGCGAGATGTTTCGATTGCCAGGTCTCTGTATTTTCTTAGTTTTTAAAATTCTTTATTTTCAACTCTGGCATCCGCCAGACTTGCAATGTCAATGATCCAGACTTTTCTTCGTTCTATTACTAGTATGTCTGGTGTGTAATGTTCAGGGTGCAATCAGACGTAGTAATAACAAAACTAAGAAATGTTTGGATCATCATCATCATCATTGCACTGTTCTTATATAAAGCATTTGGAAGTACACATTGACATTTGTATGTCAATACAAGAAATGACTTGTATTGACACAACAGTCCTTTCTTGAAGAGAGGACTATGGAAATGATGATGGAAGTTTGCACGAGTGCATATCCTGTCCTCCCATGTTGCCAGTACACTAATCCATAACAGACAAATAAGACTGCAAAAATGCAGATATTCATATACCTTCCTTCTTCCTCATGTCCCTTATCTGTCTTTCACGTTCCCTCCAACACTGTCAAGAGCACTCTGCAGTCTTCCTCACCACTTGCTAAGTTACTGTACAGCTTTCCTCTTTGCTCTGGAACTTCTCTTACCCATATTAGGCTAATTCCCACAGCACATTTTCTCTAATTTCTCTTAATTTCTCACACACTCCTTTAGAGCTGCCAGCAGTGGCCAAAGTACCAAGGCACACCTATCAAAGTCCCTGCCCTTCCCATTTTATCATTCTGTGGCGGCTGCAAATTTAAGGCACCTGTTCTGCAGCCACCTGCCATTTATTTTCCTACTCTAAGGTTGCTTCCAGGTCCTTGTGGAGCCTGGAGGTATTTGGAGGTGATATGTAATCAATTACACATTGACTGTGGTGATATTAAAATGCAAGCAAGAAAAATCAATTTGCAACAATAGGAACAAAAACTGCAAGTGCAAACTAGGCATTTCATTTTGCAGCCGGCCAAGGTTTCTATATATATACTATAAAGGTTTTAAAATGGTAAGGGACAGAGGATCTTGGTAAGTATCCACACTGCCATCTGCATGCATTATGCAGTGGAATCTCAGGTGTAAGGACTGCCATATTCAAGTTAACAGCACTCGATAGTTGTGCCATCAGCTCTGGATACTTCGAATAGACAATATTTCCTATTCCTATCTTTAGAAAAAATGGGTGTGTGTGTGAAAAAAACCCTTTTACAAAACCCATTTTGACTTTTTGCAATAATTTGGTCCCTCGCTAATAAATAAATTTCCTAGTGAGATAGAGAATATGTGCTTCCTCCATAATTAAAATACCTTTAGTCATGCTTTTAATCTTCCCCAGGGGAGATGGAACTGACACATAGGATCCATCTGAAATTAAAAGACAGAGAGAGAGAGAGAGAGACTGTGTGGGTGATACTTCCAGATCTTCAGAACAAATATATATCACTTTGTATTTTTTTTACACTAACACACTAAGACACATTATTCCTTCAATACTATTAAATTAGATGATTATAAACCTCTGCTGTGAAAAGCAGTATTGATGTTCTGCATGATGTACATTCATCTAGCTTCATCAGCATTAATATGACATTTTCTTGTGGTTGCATTAATGCTAAGGTAACTTCAGTGTGGTATACCCAGTGTGGTATAATGGATAGAATGGAACATCTGAACTTGGGAGAGCTGCTTTTGAATCCTTGCTTGGCCACTGAAACTTAATGGGATGAGGATGGCACTGATAAAACCGTCTGAATTGACGATGCCTAACACACACAACTTCAGCTCAAACTGTAGATCTCATGAATATATGGGAAGTGATCTATATATTATGGAAATGTAAAGCAGGGACTAAGGGACTTTATTAAGATAACAATAATTTAAAATTAGTGTATTGTACCAAACTTGAAAATCTGATATTTATTTTACACAAATGGCCTAGGATTTATCGGAATAAAATTTTGGATGCAGAGGTAGTAGTTTCGGTAGTACTGAACAATAGGGAGCTGAATATTCAAAAGCAAGCAGGAGACGAATGGCAGCAAAATTTGAAAGTTTAGACACTGCCACATCAAAAGGCAAAAGCTAAGGCATTTAGAAAGCACCCCTTGTGTTCATTTTTGTTCACAACACTTTTGAGATATTAATGCTCTGTGGAGTGATTATGTTCAGTCTAAAATGCAGGATGAAGTGGGGTTGACTCCTTTTTCTGATTTCTTGGCTGCGTTGAAGTCAGTAAAGAAAGCTTATCCATCAGTTTTTTCCAGAACCAGTATTTTTATTCCATGAAATTAAAGGCAATTAATCTAATAAAATCCATTTCCTGGTTTTGGTAAAGCAAAGGTTTATCTGCTTTATGCAGTGGTTTCTTGTGTAGCATTTTATGCACGATTTTGGTAAGCTTTCCCCTACAGCTCAAATTGGCAAATGTTCTTCATACCACTTGTCACTTGCCAGTTGAACAGAATAATAATTAATCCTTATAATTAAAAAAAAAGACAGACATTTGAACAAAACCAGCTTTCCAGCTTTGAGATGAATGTGAACACTTACACCTGAATCCTAACCCCTATTATTTGTGATATGTATCATTGTTTTCCATAAAACTAACTTCAGATAAGAGGTTTGGGCCTTTAGTTATAAAGAACAAGTAATTAACAGCACATCAGAGAGGAGAAAACACAAAGAGAATGCCTAAAGAACAAATTAAAATAAAGGAAGGAACTTCTCTCTCCCTCTCTCTGTTCCTGTCATACACCCTTAATGGAATTAGAGAATTGTTTTAAGATGAAGAGGAATTTTTAATTTAAAAAAACAATCAAAATGCAAAGCACCTAGAAAAATAATGATCCTGCACTCCATGTTTTGTTCTGCATGGGTTCCCAAGTAGACGTCCTTGTTGCTAGGACAGTATGGGACTTGTGAGATCCATAGCACAAATCAGAAATATACCCATCTGAGTGCCAGTTTAATCATATTTGTGCACATTGGAACAGTTCCGAAATTAATGCTTCTAAAATAACATTACTTGTCCAAATATATGCTAACACTGTTGTCAGTAAAATGGCTAAAATGAACCATGTTACTTTTGTCACTCAAAACAGTAATGTTTTTTACTTTTAATATGTTACCTCCATGCTGTTCTCACACCTGTGACATTAATAGGTGCACTATGGAGGCAACTCCCTGCGTTTTTAGAAATAGGGCTCGTACCATTTTTCCTTTCTGGTTCTCCTTTTCCAGTATAAGAAAGAACTGTTCCTGGGTTTTGCAGAATCCAAAGTTCCAAACTGTGGCTCTCTGAGAAATCTGCCCTCCCTATGTGTTTGTTTGTCATCCTTCAGGTTGGGGATTCTTGCCAATATTCCCTCTCCCTTTTTTCCTGGGGTCCAACCCTTTTTAAAGGGACATGGTGGCGCTGCGGGCTAAACCGCAGAAGCCTGTGCTGCAGGGTCAGAAGACCAAGCAGTTGTAAGATCGAATCCACGCGACGGAGTGAGCTCCCGTTGCTTGTCCCAGCTCCCGCCAACCTAGTGGTTCGAAAGCATGCAAATGTATGTGTTTGTTTGTCATCCTTCAGGTTGGAGATTCTTGCCAATATTCTCTCTCCCTTTTTTCCTGGGGTCCAACGCTTTTTATATACAGTACTGTAGTTTCAAGGTTGATCTCATATTTCTCTCCTAACCTCCAGCACCTCCACCCCCCATTTCCCTAGTAATCATGTTCTATCCCTGCTGTTCCTGACAAGATTCCATATAGACTGCATTGCTACATATTGTTTCAGGCAAGTAGATAAATAGGGACCACCTCGGTGGGAAGGTAACAGCATTCCGTGTCTAAGTCGCACTGGCCATGTGACCACGGAAGATTGTCTTCGGACAAATGCTGGCTCTATGGCTTGGAAATGGGGATGAGCACCGCCCCCTAGAGTCGAACATGACTGGACAAAAATTGTCAAGGGGAACCTTTACCTTTACCTTTTACCAACCCTTTTTATGTACTGTAGTTTCAAGGCTGATCTCATATTTCTCTCCTAACCTCCAGCACCTCCACCCCCCATTTCCCTAGTAATCATGTTCTATCCCTGCTGTTCTTGACAAGATTCCATATAGACGGCATTGTTGCTACATATTGTTTCAATGCTATCTACAGAGGCAGATCCTGTACTGTACCTGTGCACCATTTGGGAGGGAAATTAGGTTACATTGTACAATGAGCAACCTGACAATACTATACCTCCTCCTGGTTGGGAGTATTCGTTACATGGGGATTCATCCTGGGGTCTTTTATAATGCTTCAGGAGTGTGACAATAGCATCGTGCCCTGAAATACAGCAATTGTAATCAAGGGTGAATAACAACAACCGTTAAAAATGCCAAATACACCCATAGAAAGGGAATGAGGTGCCACGTTAGTAGCACCTCATTCACTAATGTGTCAGAGCCCAAACCTGCATCAGGGTAGGCAAGAATTTGGAAGGGGGGGCTTTCTTAAAGTTCTGAATGTGGAAATGGGCATGCCAGGAATCAGAGCATTTGGGCCCAGATTCCAGGGAAAAGCCAGTTATAGCAGCTCAAAACCATGATTAAAATTTTTATTTTCTGTTATATTATTTTTAAAATATTTCTCTAGCAGCAAAATGTGCCTGATAGGTACAACAGCTACTGCCATTCCTACTAAGGCTCACTATCCAGAGTGCCTTGTGTTCTGCATGTGAGGTTATTTTCTAGGCACTACTCTTTTTCCTGGTCCTGTTGGAAAGCTCTCTGCCACCTGCAAGGACCTTTTCCCCCCCAGACACTATACTGCTGCTTATGTGCGACAGAAAGTCTCATGCACATAATTTGATCTTTCTTGTCCTTGAACATCACTCTCCTTGAGATTTTGTCTCTCAGCTTACTGAGTGTCCGGTCCTTATCAAAAGCTAAAAAATCAACTTCTCACTGTGCAATGCATTATTTGCTGTAGGGCTGGAAGATGATTGCAATGATTAGCTAATGCTAAATTTAAAAACTGTTAGTTTTTAAGGTGCTAGAGCAAGGGAGTTTCCCCTGCCCTGCAGCACCTCAATAAAAGAATTTTAAAGGTGGATTCCAGCAGGGAATAGCTGAACCAAAGCTCATAAAGAGGTTCAAGTCTATCTCCTGCAGCTTCAACAAGGACAACAGTTTTTGTATCACAGTAAATTGTGTAGTTTTAGGAGAGATAGCCTTGTTAGTATGTGCTAACAATCAGGAAAAAACTAAAAGAATTTTAAAAAAAAGACAAAAACATTGTGGCACCTTAAAGACTAACTGCTATATTTTATATGAGCTGTAATGGACAAATCTTTTTCCTCAGAAATAACAAATAATGTGTTAAATAGCACATTACTGCTTATGCATTCTGCATTCTAGTTTCTTATGAATCTACTCATTATATTCTCCTGCCCATGCACTAAAGTATATGCACAATAACCTGTCTATTGACCTGGGCTACAGACCATGCAAGCTTATGCCAGGTAAATTTAATCTCTCAGGAGCTGGACATCTCTTTGTTATTTTCCAATGCTATCTCCTAGAAACAATCTTGAAATTTTGTATTTACTACGTACTCCTTGGGTTCTTCCTATCATAGTATGGTTTTAATCTGATTGTTTCTGATTTCTTTAGCAAAAAAGGAAGAAGGCCCTGAGACTAATTGCACAATAGTAGCCATATAAATGTAACGAATGACAGCCATTGACTTAAATATATAAACATAGACATCTATGTCTAATATATGAATACATCTATATGCTGGGTCTTTATTTTGGTGTATAGACTGTTGTGCCAGGGCTATAGCTGTCAAATCAATTCTGACTTATGGTGCCCCATTTCAGGGTTTCCTAGGTAGAGACTACTCAGAAATGGTTTACCATTTCCTTCTTCTTGGAGCGCCCTGGGAAAGTGCAGCTTTGCCAAAGGACACATGGGTTGGCTTTTCTGGGATGCACAGTGCAAAGTTGACCACCCAGCCTCTGGCTCCGCAGCCAGATACCTGACTCACTGGGTTATCCATATGCACTAGAGATGGACACAAACCTGGAAAATGGCAGTTCATAACAATTCGTGCTTCATCATGCTATTCACAGACCATGAACCACAAACTTTCCAACAAGATGAACTGTTTTGTGGTTCATGCGATTTGGGATTTCCAGGAGTGGTAGAATTGTCGCCAACCTCACAGCTGGTCTTCAGCTGACTTTCTTTCCCACCCCCTCCAAGTTTGCTGAAGATTGGATTTGAGATGGCTGAGTTATAGCTCCCCCCTGCCCCATCAGCTAGCTAAAATGCACTTTCCTGGGGAGACCTGATTTGGTGAGCGATAACTTGGATGTTCCACATTCAATCATCATCATACTTGGAGGGTGTTGGGTAGGAGATTGAGAGCAAGAGTCAGTCCAAGCCTGATAAAAATTGAGTCAGGGATGTCCATGTTACAGCCCCATGTATGAACTACCAATGCTGATAATAGTTCCCAAAGCACCCTGAAGCGAACCACAGAACGGCCAGCTGGGGGGTGGGTTGCATTGCGGCTTCTCTAATATATACTGTACACACTTTAAAAACATCATGTATTTTCCCACAAATGGTGCCAAAAAACTACATGAAATCTAGTATTTGATAGGCTCTACAAGCTGCCCTGTCAAGTACTGTTACTTATGACTTCAGAATGTGTAGATCTATGAGTGTGTGGGTACAATTTAATGCAAAAACGTACACCTGCCCAGCAAGAGACGATCTTAGGAAACAGTTTCCAAGAATCAACAGTGTCTGAGCTGAGTTTGAAGGACAAGGAGAGGCAGAACATGAATCTGGGCTGTTGCCAGGGCACTTCTGTGAAAGGTGTAATGCAGAGCGTAGCTGAAACCATGGAGATATGTTTCTTCTTTGAAGAATTTCTGCAGGAAATCAAGGATAGCTATCTGCCATTCAAGGAGGCTTGTGCTGCTGCACATCACAGCAGAAGCAGAGTTTCCTTCCACATAAAATCAATAGCAGTCCCTCACTTCCTAATAGACTTCATGGATAACTGCATTCTAATATTGCCTGCGATACCTTGTTCAGTGATAACAGGGGGGCTGGAAGTTTAGCCTTAAAGCCTTGTCTGTACTTTACAGGCAGAAATGACCTCAACCACCACCATCCCTGAGTTAAACAATTACAGTTTTGAAGGATTTTTGTGCTACTGGAAGTGAGAAGGATTGTGGCTGAATTGCTGTGGAATTAAAGCTTTAGTTAGCCTGTTAGCATTTCTGAGGGCATAAACCCCACATTTTCTATTCTTCATTCTCTCAGAAGCTGACGCACAATGATAGCCATGCCCAGCATGCCTGGTTTGAGCTGAATTGTTTCTTTTATGCCATCCTACTCTTCCTGATCTCATCAGCAATACGTGTTTCTAATGCAGAAATTGGAAAGCCATTACGGTACTACCTTTCTCATAGGCCCACATCAAACAGGTCTGCTCATCTTTTTCACCACTAGACCTGCTGGGATCACAGGCTACAAGATTCATGTCAGCTCCATTGTCTAGTAAAAATTGGACCAGACGGATATGGCCATGATAGCAAGCAGAATGCAACCCTGGAAAATTGAGAGGGGGAGGAGGAAGAGAGGGAGGGAAACAAACATTACAAGAAGGAAGATTCTCATAATAACCTAACAGACATGTAATGGAACAATACAACACATACATGGATTTTCTTGTAAAAGTGATTTGTTCTAAAACCCCATCAATAGAGCTTTCTGAGGACAAGGTCTGCCCGGCCACTGCTCTGCAGCAGTCAATTTTGCCAGTCTTATGTTACATACCATCATTTACTCTTAACTGCAAAAACTCCCAGAAGGATGGCAGTTTTGTGTATTCAGGAAAAGGAAGAAACTATGTTTTCTCAGTCTCTGAGGTTATGTGCTCTTGGTAGTATGTTTGGTCACAGGAGACGAATATGTTTCACATGAAGGATGTTAGGCATTGATTTTTTTCAACTGTTATATCAGAAGTGTGAGGGAAAGGATGTGTGGGGCTTCTGGCTGGCCTATGTACCAGGGCCCAGAAGTAAGAAATCTTCTGTCCCTATGACCTACCATAGTAGCTCCAGTTCCTTTTTCTTTCTTTCTTCGAAGTTGCCTCTCCATCCATGCTGTAACTAAATATTCACTTCTGGCATTGATTTTTTTAAGGGTTTGTAGGCTAAGCAAGGCATTGGGTGGCCCTCTAGGCTTTGATTTCAGGAACAAATGTTGCTCCAGGAGTAGAGCAGGGGGAAGAGTCCTTGGTGGGGGGGACTTCCTGTGAAACTCTGTAACAAATTTCTGCCAGGCTGTGCATGTGTCCCGCAGGCCACATTTTGCCCACTCCAACAATATTCACTTGTCTGGAAATAAAATGCCACTGCTATTTGTGGGGCTTATTTCTCCTTGGCCATGGAGAGGATTGCACTTAAGGATATCCCTTGGATCTTGCACTAACAACTAATACCACCAAATAGGTTTCCAACTTTATGAAGAAGAAACATTGGTTCTCATTTGTGGTGTCCTCAGGAGCAAATGTAGGAAGGCCTTTTGTGAAGACTAGCCCTACGCAGAGAGGTGGTCTGCTTACATGGGGAAGGAAAATGGGGCCACGAGGACCAGCCATGATCCCATAAGCTCAAGAACTCCCCTCCCATTCGGTTCTTGAGTTTCTGCTGTTGCTCTGTCAGGACCTATTCTCAGCTTCACAAGAGGGAGGTCAGAGAATGAATGGAAAGGAACGGGAGCACTTATACTACTGGCCAAAAGAGCAACCCCTGATGCTCCAAACTACTGATACTCTATGGGTCCTGCAGATGGGGGTTGCAGGCAATCATGCTCTTGGCCTTCCCACCCTAGGACAAGGTGAACATTTAATCTGATGCAATACAAATTTATTTGTTGCTTCTTCTGTCTAACACAGTGGTTCCCAACCCTTTTTGAGCTGCAACCCCCTTTGATAATAGCCAAGTAACCTCTAACTCCTCTGCCACATTTGCATCAAAAAGCATTTTTAATGGGGTGAAGTAATCCATTCTTAGAAAGAATAGGCTTGTTTCTGCCCCCCAATACATGCACATGCATGCAAACATTGATATCCTGTTCTGGAAGGTCAAGGAAGAAACTAGTTAACAAGGGCTACAACACATATAATGTGACCCATGACCCTTGACCCCCAGAAAACACTTTGGGAAACACTAATCTAACATATTAGTGTTGGCTTTCATTAGATTTCTATGCTTTAAAAATCTGTTAAGGTACAATAATCTCTATCTGTCGCTCTCTCTCCCCATATTTAGAGTGCTACCTGTATGTCCATCTCTTCCTTGGTGATTGATATTCATCACATTCTGTTCCAGAAGAAACTTTACCAGTTCTATGTTCTTGCCATAGGTGCAGGCACTGGATAAAGCAGAAGGTGCTTTTAAAACATTGAATTATGTGGTTAATCAAGTATATGAACATATACTTATTATCTAGCAATATGGAAAAATCTTGCATGTGGATCTCTCTCTCTCCTTATATAAACATTTATAACCTAAGCTTGTAATGGTACGTTTGAAAATTAATTTGTTAATGTTGATATGTGGATTGAGAAGATCGGTTTGTGGTTGATTCCAGGTGGATGGAGTTGTTTCATTTTGGAAATGAGAATTAATTTATCCATTGATTATCTTCTTCAAATAAACAGTGAGATTTATGGAGAAGGACTAACGGGTTGTTGCCGTTGAACCCAATGGTGTCTTCAAAATGTTATCCCCGTGGTTTTAAAGTTGCATTGTCCAACCTGACTCTTTCCAGAGGGACCACAAAACTCATAATATGGTTGGTTGTGGATGGTAGAGTCTAAGTGTATAGAAATGGTGAAGTTGAAGAAGGTTGTTTATGCTTACAGTCATGTTCAACTGTGTTTTGTCACCCATCTCCGTCTCTCCTGTTTCTTTCCTTTCCACCCCTAACAGACATTTGTGTCCTTTTGATAATTTACCACTTGCACGTGTCTGAAAGTGGCAGCAGGCAGGTGCTGACTGGGGTACCCGCTACACTGTACAATTAGTTAATTGCTTTTAAAATCATTATTAATTGTTAAATAAATAATTTATTAATTGTTAAATAAAATGACACCCCAAGTCAAGTTGCTGAATGGGGTAAAGGAACAACATCAGCTGAAAAGAGAGCTTTTCTTTTGCTGCTGGAAAGTTTTAGAATGGTCTCACTCATGAAGTTAGCAACTGCTGTTGCCTTTCTTCTCTCATTCTTCCTTGCATCAGGTAGGAAGGAATGTTTTTAACAAATTGTGTATTCCATGTAGTCCAAAATTTCTTTCCTCTCTGTTCATCACAGAGTTGGATTTCAGACCCAATGAAGTCAGAACGTAGTGATGTATGGCAAGCATAGGTGATGGCACTACGTCAACATATGTGACTGCAAGCATGGCCTCTGTGGAACTGCTCCCTGCTGTGGACAACATGCCATCTATCGACTATCTTCCTTTCATGCAGGTGCTTACAGGCACAGAAGGTCTGCAAGAAGGAAAGTCAAAGAGGAAAACACTTTGTTGTAAGCTGCCTTGGGTCCTTTTAAGGAGAAAGGCGGGGAATGAATGAATGAATGAATGAATGAATGAATGAATGAATGAATGAATGAATGAATGAATGAAGTTAAAAACCTTAATAAAGTAAGAACAAGTGGCACCAAAGACAAATTCTCTATGTGACAGCAGGCTAGAAGGCAAATGGGGTCAAAAGTGTCCCTAAAAAACAGTGTTTTTAGTTGCCTTCTAACAGAGAGGTTAACATGTAGCATAGCTCCACCTGGAGAAGATTCCACAATGTTGGTGCCACCATGAAGAAGGCCCAAACTCTTGCAGAGAAATAAAATACACAGAAGCTCTTCACCATTCCCTTCTTCTGGGGAGGGGGGTTACTCTGGGAATCTGCAGCTTGCCCAAGGTCACACAGGCTGGCTCTACTTGCAGGAAGTACAGTGAGGAATGGCTCTCTCAGACTCTGGCTCTGCAGTCAGATACCTAAACTACTGAGTTCTCCAGCAGACATAAGGAAGGCAAATAAACAATGGAACCTCATCTTATAAGTGCTGTTTTGAGAAAATGCTCTCCCCACTCCACTTAGTCTCACTCTCTGTGCTCTACATGTGAAAACCTTGCTTGACACAGCATGCATATAAACATGATGATTATGAGCTACTGAAAGCTATGGTTAAAGGCACAGCTAAATTACTAGTTGAAGAGTTTGCAACTCTTCTCTCTCTCTCTCTCTCTCTCTCTCTCTCTCTTCCTCCACTCCTTGTCGGGGCTGGGTGTGTCTTTGTTTTAAATGAAAGAAACAGGCAGGGACATATCTTGTATCTGACTATAAATGAACTGGTCCTTACATTTCAAATACTGTAAATAATTAAGGGGCAGATTCCATACTGTAATAACCAGGTAGAAAGGTTTTTAACACCCTAAAATCTAGTATTAATATAATCACACATTGGGAACAATGATGGGCAGTGACCAGGGCAGAGGACATCACCTTGAAATTTTGGGGTAAGATGCCCACATCCTGATCCATGAGCTGCCCATGATTTGGAAAACAAGAAGAAAACAAGTATAGAAAGCAAGATGTGGCAATAAACATCCTGGTACAGGAGTACAGCAACAGGAAGAGGACTCTCTCAAAAATACAGCACGCCTGTGAATTTTGTATGGCAGATCATGATATTATAATCCAAATCAAATAACAGATAAACAGAAATTCAACTCCCCAGCTTTTGTTCACTCCATTAGTATTTCAATCCCAACAGCTCAGTGACTTTTTTTTACCCATCCTGAACTGGAATGAGTCAGCCCCCAGGACCAATATCCTTTCAACTAGAAGTCAAAGAAATTTAGCATGTCAAGTAAACCTTTCACCATGACAGGGAGGTCTTCATAGGAGGCCCTTCTATTGGTCCCATTGCCATCACAGGCTCAGACCAGCTTCAGCAATGAGGACTGAGTCCCTGGGTGCTGGGTTTTTGTTCTTCTAAGTGCATTTTTCAAGTTTTCAAAACATTTTAAATTATTACTGTATATGACGCAACTCCGCCTCTGAGACCTTTATTAAGTTCTTCTTCCTCACACTGCCACCAGATGTTTTCTTTTAAACATCAATAAATTCAAGGACACACCATTTCACAAAGGCATTAAGTTTATTTATCAGGGTGGGGTTAATGATTGGTTGAAAATAACAGAGTCAATCACAGGAAGCAAATCACTTAGATAAACAAGTATATATTTAACTCCTTCTATTACTTTACTATATTTCCCAATTTCTGATTTCAATCTACCTCAATCAATATTCTTTGAACCTCTGATCTCAGTCTTTATGTCCTCTCACTCTACTCTCACTGTCTCACTCTCTCACACTCCTCCACACTCTCACACTCCTCCTATCTATCTCACACTCCACCCAAAACTCTCCCACAGAACTCCCTCTGTCCTCCAGACTCCTCCTTTTGTACCCCCCCTTCTCTCTTGCTCCTGCCTTCCGTCCTCCTCATTGGCTCTCCTGCCAAGGTTCCCTTGTGACAGGCAGGTGCTGACTGGGGTACCCGCTACACTGTACAATTAGTTAATTGCTTTTAAAATCATTATTAATTGTTAAATAAATAATTTATTAATTGTTAAATAAAATGACACCCCAAGTCAAGTTGCTGAATGGGGTAAAGGAACAACATCAGCTGAAAAGAGAGCTTTTCTTTTGCTGCTGGAAAGTTTTAGAATGGTCTCACTCATGAAGTTAGCAACTGCTGTTGCCTTTCTTCTCTCATTCTTCCTTGCCCTTAGGCATCCATACTGAACTTTGCAGAGTTTTCAGCAAATGTAGGCTTATTATTTATATCACAGTCTTAGAGCCCAAGCCTAAATAGCCACAGATGGCTTATAGCTAAGGATCTGCAGAGCTGACACTACGTCTTCGAAAGCTTTGCAGAATCCAAACTATTCCCAGCTTAGGATGCTGAAATTACACAGTATCTTGTGCCAAACATTTTGCTGGCATATGGACTGTGCCCTAGGGCACAGGAGGAGGTTTGGATCTGGTATAAACTTACTCCTCTTGCACTCTATCCTTTCTCCACCCCTTTTCTGCTGGCAGATCTTAGCCATAGAGCAGCTGGGTTGGAGAATTTTGAAGCCAGCTTACAGAGATGGGCTCTGCCAGCACAGAAGCATTTGCCAATGTCAGGGAATTTCTGCCGGCAGACAAGACTTCTGCCTGCTACAAAGGCCCCACAGCCAGAAGCATCTCTGAACAGGGATTGCACCATATGTATATTTTAGTGGAAAACACTGAGAACACAAGAAAAAAAAGGTTATGCATACCTTTAGAAATGCAAATAAATGCAGTATTTCCATATTTTTGTTCTGTTTTATATTTCATACCATAAGGGCTGCTACTAAAATTAAAGTTTTTCTCATGCAAATCCTGCTTCAAAACCATTCTGGGATAAAAGTGTGACAGATAAAAGATTTATTCACATGTCTGCTTTGAAACAGATACTGGTATGCTGGGTTGTTTGAGATGCCTACATCTGAGGCTTGAGTGTACAGGTGCTTACTGTTCAACTTTGTTCAACTTTACCCATGCTACTGTTCAACTTCTGGTGCGGTACTAGGTGCATCAAGATATTGCTGGAGTATGAAACCAAGAATCCAAAAATCTAAACATTAATTAGTTTATTTCATGACTGATGCCGATGAGGTCTTCAAGTTAATAGGTAAGGAATATGGAGCAGGGAGCCCATATTCCCTAGGGCTCTTCTGCCAAAATGAGATGTGTGTAAGTCATGACCAGGCTCTCTCAGACTCTGGCTCTGCAGTCAGATACCTAAACTACTGAGTTCTCCAGCAGACATAAGGAAGGCAAATAAACAATGGAACCTCATCTTATAAGTGCTGTTTTGAGAAAATGCTCTCCCCACTCCACTTAGTCTCACTCTCTGTGCTCTACATGTGAAAACCTTGCTTGACACAGCATGCATATAAACATGATGATTATGAGCTACTGAAAGCTATGGTTAAAGGCACAGCTAAATTACTAGTTGAAGAGTTTGCAACTCTTCTCTCTCTCTCTCTCTCTCTCTCTCTCTCTTCCTCCACTCCTTGTCGGGGCTGGGTGTGTCTTTGTTTTAAATGAAAGAAACAGGCAGGGACATATCTTGTATCTGACTATAAATGAACTGGTCCTTACATTTCAAATACTGTAAATAATTAAGGGGCAGATTCCATACTGTAATAACCAGGTAGAAAGGTTTTTAACACCCTAAAATCTAGTATTAATATAATCACACATTGGGAACAATGATGGGCAGTGACCAGGGCAGAGGACATCACCTTGAAATTTTGGGGTAAGATG